GGCGGCCGCGCCCCTCAACCCCCGCGGCCAGCCGGGCGCGCGCCGGACCAGGGAGCCCCCCTCGCGTCCCAGAGGGGGCACATGGCGCCAGCCAGCACGGGCTAGGGTTTCAAGGCGCCCACGATGAGATTGAGCGCGAATTGCCGGGGGGGGGCGATACAGTGGAGGCCAGTCTACAAGAAGCCTTCAACAAGAAACCAAACCCTGAAACCCCAGGACGTCCATGGATTTTGGTGTGAACGTCGCGCTCTCCATCGCAATACCATCGAAACCCAAGAAACCCAGGGCACCCTGGAGTCAAGCAGGGTGTTTCTTGGCATGGGCACCCACTGTGAGTAAGTGGGGGGAAGAAAGGGGCCATTTTCGGGTCCTCGAGGCCCCATCTGGGGCCCGAAAAGGCCTCTCGAGGCCCCCTTTCTGCAGCCCTCGCTGACCCCCCACTTCTATCGCTCCCCCATTCTCGGCTATACGTAAGAGTAACCCTGGGTAAGAGTGACCTTTGGTGCGCGGCTTTTGGGGGGCCGCGGGGGGACCAAACCTGGGCGCGCAAGCAGCTGCCGCTGCTTCGTTCTCAGCCATCTGAGGGCCCGTCTGCGCCCGCACCAAAGGCCACCCCGGCGAAGGGTCACTCTGACGTCTAGTCGACATTCTACGCGCCCGCCAGCGCGATCTGTGTCTTGTCCTTCCGGCAACGGTCGTTACAGTCGGGGCGTTGCCCTAAGGAACCCAAAATGAGGAACGAGGTCCCTTTTTTCCATAAGTTAAACTTCGATTTCCCATCGAAAACCAAAAGAAAACCCAAGGCAAGCTGCGAAATAAGCAAGGAACACCGAGCCCCTCCCCAACGAAAAGGGTTTCTTCTTCAAGACCCCTACTGTAGGGGGGGGGAGGGCCCTCCAGGGCAACGAGACGCTCGGGTGGGGTGGGGCACGCTGGGGTGGCGGGGGTGCGCTGCGATCGCCACAACATGCGCGCGAGCCCCCCCGCCCCACGAACGATCGTTACCGGTATCCAGGGGTGGTTCCAAATACCGTCGGGGCGTTGACCTAAGGAACCCTAAATTCGCCGGCCCAACGGGCCAGGGCGTGCTAAGATCTCCGGTAACTGGTTAACAGTATTAACAGTATTTCTAGTTCGCGCGCGCGGGGCGGCCCCTGGGGGTCCCCCGGCGAAAAGTACCCCGACCAACGCCCGGCCGCCCGACCGCCGCCCGACCGCCGCCCGACCAAGTCTACTCAGAGATGGTTTTCCTTCTGGGTGCGGCCTCTCAGGCTCCCCAGAGCGCGCTCAGAGTGCCCCAAGAGGCCCCCAAGACTGCCCAAGAGGCCCCCGAGACGCCCAAAGAGCGCTCGAAGACGCCGAAGATGACCCCAAGACGGCCCAAAAGGCCCCCAAGACAGCCCAAGAGGCCTCCAAGACGCCCCAAGAGCCTTCCAAGAGGCCTCCGAAGAGAGCCCCAAGAGGCCAAAATCGTTGATTTTCATTGGTTTTTTCGATGTTTTTTGTGTTCTGGCTTTTTCGGCTTCCGGACGCTCCAAGACGGCCCAAGAGGCCCCCAAGACCGCTCCAAGACGGCCCACGAAGCTCCCAAGACGGCGCCGAAACGACCCAAGAGAGCCCTCAAGACGGCCCAAGTGCCGCCCAAGACGGACCAAGAGGCCCCAAGACGGGCCCAAGAGGGACTCAGGAGGGATACCGAGAACTCAAAAATGGAGCCCTCCGTCCCAGAAGGCGCCCAGGAGGTCCCAAAGAGGCCCCAAGAGGCCTCCAAGAGGCCCCAAGATGTCGCCAAGAGGCCCCAGGAGACTCCCAGGAGGCCCAAAAGAAGCCCCAGAAGGCTTCAAACATGTCTCCCAGGCGCCCCCGAACGGCCTCTCAACAGACCCCAAGAGGCCCCCCAAAGAAGCATCTTGACGACGACTCTATTTCGCCCCATCGAGAGACGACCCCCAGGGAACTGCTTCACCATCAAAACTCCCCACGCAACGCGTCCGAACGACACCCGCCCCCAAGAGCGCAACATGGGCAACGAACACACAGACAAAAACCAGCGATGCCATATCACGGGCCGGCGGAATGAGCGAAGCGATTCAATAAGGAACGAGGCCCCTATTTTCCATAAGTTAAACTTCGATTCCCCATCGAAAACCTTGGGAAAACCTGAGCCAAGCTGTGAAACGATCGAGGAACACGGAGCCCCTCCCCAACGAAAAGGGTTCCTTCTTCAGGACCCTGACTGTACGAACAAATCCGACCGGTAACGACCAGGGTGGTTCTGGTGGCGACCGGTACGGGCCAGAGGATAGAACCGCGCATTCGGCGCGAGAATCCCCAGATGTGCATCTCATTTCTGGGCACGTCTGGCTGTGAGTGTCTGGCCGTGAGCGTCTGGGTGTGAGAGCGAGTTCGCATGGACGACGACGACGACGACGACGGCGGCGGCGGCGGCGGCTACGATGAGAGACAGGGACAACGACAACTCACAGACAGGCGGGAGGTGAGCAGGTCCCCTCCCCTCTCCTTCCTATTGCTACTCGTTGTATCCCCTCTCTTTTCTTCCTCCCTTCTCCCTCGTCCTGCGTCCTCCTCCTCCCTCCTTCGTCCTCCCTCCTCCGTCGTGGCGGCCGTCCTTGGCCCTACATCGACGTGATCATGATGCTTTGAATGGACAGGAGTCGGAAGTCCAAAACCGAGGGCCGCCCAGGGTTCTGAAGTCAGCGCCTCTATCGAGACATCCTCGCAGCTAATCGTGAAAACACCGACGTCCAAGCCACCGAACAGGCGGACCGCCGCAGACATCCACACACTCTGGGCGCGAACGGGCAGATGCATTACCCCTGGCGGCTCCTCCTTGGGGTGCCGAAACCAGCGCCTCGCTCTAGACGTCCTCAGACGATGCGCGGAACGCGCCGAAGTCCAAGCCACCCGTCAGGCAAAGCGCCCGAGACATCTCCACAAATCAGGGTTCGAACGGGCGGGAGTCCCCCTCCCGGGCGGCTCCCCCCCTGGGATGCTGAGGCCAGCGCATCGCTCTGGACATTCTCACATACTGCCTTGAACGCGCTGAAGTCTAAGCCACCAATCAGGCAAACCGCCTGAGACATCCCAATAATCTGGGCGCGAACGGGCAAAATGTCCGAGCCCTGGCGGCTCATCCTTGGGGTGCTCACATGACAAACCTGCTACATCGCGATGAGCATGGGGCTCGGAAAAGGAAAGAGTTCAAGCCACCAATCAGGCAAACCACCTGAGACGTCCCCAAAGCCTGGGCGCGAACGGGCAAATGATGTCCCCATCCCTGGCGGCTCCTCCTTGGGGTGCTCAAGTGCCACGCCTGATACATCATGAGCATGGGGCTCTGACTGTATGAGTGACATGTGTGTACTAGCATAAGCATTACTGGGATTAGTGTGTGGCTATGATTGAGAGCGGTGTTTGCTTATGCATGAAGGAGCCTGAGTGCGCGAGTCTGAATATGGCTGGGTGTGGGCGAAGGGTCTGAGTATCAGTGGATCTGAGTGTGCACGAGTCTGCATGTGAGAGTGTCTGAGTGTCAGTGAGTCTCCGTGTGCAGGTATCTGAGCGTGATTGCGTCTGAGTGCGAGTAGACCTGCGTACGCGTGGCCTGCGAAAGGGGAGGCGAGGGGAAGCGAACGATCGGCAGCGCACTGCTGAAGCAAGAGCGAGGAGGAGGAAGAGGAGGAGAGAGGAGGAGCGAGGGGGATCAGGAGGAGGAGGAGGAGGAGCTGCCTTCTGAGAAGCCCCCTTTGGCCCTGGCCGTCGCTCGGACGTCTCTTCCCCCGTGCACTCCTCTTCGGTGTCGCGGCGCGTCTCTTTCGCAAGATGGTCCAAAATGCTCCTCTCGGCGGTGGACAAACCTCCATTTAGTAAACCACCCTTTAATGAAAACAGCCTGGGACCGGACCCGACGGACCTGGACCCGCACAAATGACGGCCGCGACGCCCTCTCGCGAACCGAAAACGGCCAATTCGCTAATCGACGTGTCAGGGTAGGAGGTCTATCAACCTCCGATCCTCTGGAAGATCAACAACCTACATAAGCAAAAACTGTTGGAGGTCCGCGCGGATTTCTCGGATCCGCCTTTCGCAAGATGGTCCAGGATGCTCCTCTGGAGTATCAGTAACCTACATAAGCAAAAACTTTTGGAGGTCCGCGCGGATTCCTCGGATCCGCCCTGGGCGGCGCCGGAGGCGCCGCCGGGGGGTCCCAGTGCGGAGCCGAGAGAAGTCCGCGGGGGGCGCCAACAGTTTGTGCTTGCGCAGTGCTTGCTCTGCTCCGATCCCCGAGGCTCCTCGCCGAGGCAGCGGGCGCGCGCCCGAGCGACGCCAAGGCCCCCCCCGGGCCTCTCCTGCAGGCCGCCGCCCCTCCCCCTCCGCGGCGACGACCCCCCCTCGCGCGCCGCGGGAGGCGCGAGGGCGGGCGCGCCGCCCCCCCCCCCCCGGGGGCGTGCCGCCCCAGACGGCCCAAGAGGCCCCAGATATCGTCCCAAGACGCGCCCCAATGGCCCGCGAGGGCCCCCAGACGGGCCCAAGGCGGCCCAAGAGGCCCCAAACATCGTCCCCAGACGGCCTCAGAGGCGCCCCAGAGGGGCCCCCAAAACGGCCCAAGATGGGCGTTCCATTCTGCCCTGCCCCCCCGCCCTCCCCCCCCCCCGGTCCCTCCCCGCCCATTGGAGAGGACACGCGAAAGGACACGCGTGAGGACACGCGTGAGGACCGCCCCTCGGTTGATTG